TAACTATCACTTTTTCTATAAAAAAAAAAAAAGTTTGTCTGTTTAAAAATAATTAATTAAAATTTTTAAATCCGTACAGTTGAAAACAAGTTCCAAATCTGATAATCGCTTAATGTGTTTGCCTGCGAAAGTAAGGAGCACTGGTCCCCATCATGCAGCACCCAAACTCGTTGCCTCCGCAGATCCCATGCAGCTTCCTGGAGTACTGATGCCGAAAAAATTTCCTCGCCGCGGTGACAAACGAACTTTCGGTCCTAAATATATAAATACGGCCTCTGTCCCTCCCTTGTTCTTTACAAGTACACAGCCCTGGATATCCATCAGAGGAACTTAGATTATTCTCTCTCCCAGCTTGTTCATTACGCCTCCATGACCACTCCTTCAAACCACGCGGCGGGGTTGGAGCGGACGGCCACCAGCAGGCCCGCGGTCCACCAACCCCCCAGGAGGGACTCCTTCAATCAACAAGGAACCACCGTCTCGCTGGCGGAGCTGGAGCAGATCGACAGGCCCCACCTCCCGGTGATCCATGGCGACATGCCTGGAACTCAAAGCTCATTGGCAAGGTATGTTGGGAAGGGGGGCTGTGTAATGTTTTCTGAGCCAAAGAGCTTTTGGAGGCAGATGATTTGAAGGGTTTGGCCAGGGATGAAGAAAATTATTACTCTGATACAAAGTTTCGGTTTATTTTTGGTGAAAAGATCATTTATTTGCTTATATATATATTCTGGCATTACAGGCGCTCACGCAGGAAGCAGATCCATATTGCCATTATGTTTCTGATAGGTATGAGTGGTGGTTATGTTCAAGTTGCGTACCAATCCAGAGAGAAATCTCCATTTGATGATCCCGATAAGGCCCCGATCATGGTGACCATTCTTGTGAGCCTATGCCTCTATGTTGTGTGTTTCCTTGCAGAATATACAGCGCCAAGTGAACAGCCTAACCTTCATCACATCATCAAAACCCTTGGCCCACTGTTTGGATTTCTGGTCTCTGTGCTGATTCTCATGATCCTAGTTCCATGGGTGGGCATAGTCGCATCCATCATATGGGGTCTTTTTGTGTTGAAAGCTGCAATCACGTCGCACGCAATTGTCGTGGAATGTCTTCGTCAGGTGTTCTCTGGTATGACACCATGGTTTTCCTCAGCAGCAAGTCACTGCCTGGAGCTGCCAAGCATGAACCCCTCTGTGCAGTCTGAAGTAGACTCTGATACAGTTACTGTCCAAGTCGCCGTGGAGACGAGGGAGGAAATCAATTATTAGACGACCTTATTATCTCTTTGACTACCGGCGGCCCTCTCTGATGTTACCGCAAGTCTGTTCACACGTTTACTGATGAAGGAAGCATTGAAATTCCTATTTGTTGCATTGACGTTAAATGTTAATTATTTTATTTTATCAAATTTCATGCTACTCAAATCCTTTGACTTTTAATGTGTGGTTAAAAAAAAAATTATAGGATCCGTTTGGTACGATAAAAATAGAGAAGAAAGGATGGGAGAAAAAATTTTGATAAGCTCAATTTAAAACATTAAAAAAAGTGAGATTAAAAGCTTTTAATTAATTTTTATTACTCTTTTATATTATTCCTTTTCTTTATTAAAATTTTAAACCCTCTTTTCCAATTTTTCAAATAGAACTCATTAAAATTTTTTCCTCCCTCCTCTTCCCTGTATTTCCCTAATACCAAACAATACCTTAGATATGTTGTTAACAGGAAATAGAAGCATGCATGCTCAAATTCATTTTATTAAAATTATTATGCATTGTTTAATATAACTATTATAATTAAAATATTTCAATTTTTATAAAAAAAATTAATGAGTTAAAGTTAAAAAAAATATTTTAATTTACGACAAGGAAAAAAGGAATAGTAGTGCGTCCACTTGCCTGCTATGCATTGGTTAATTAGGGAGAAAAAGTCCACAAAGGCTGCTGAGACAACCAATCAAAACAACACAACACAAAGTACCTTTTTAAGCACGGGGACGCGGTTTAAAATGAAGTCTACAAAAACCAAATAGAAATAAAAAATTCGACCATCTGACTATCAAACTTTTATCACGACAAGCTAAGGAAAGATGCGTATGTAAACGCATTTCTGTTTCCAAATGCACGTTCTCCTACAGATTCCCTTCAACTATCAAATTAAATCTCTTCCCATTACTCACAAAAGAAATTTTAATATTCTACCTCCAAATATAGGTCATATATATTTTGGAATAAATTGTAGTTTTAAATACAAGTCCCTTCTGGGCACTTAATACTTTTTTTTAAAAAAAAAAAAGCCCTTAGTGCGGCTTCTAATGAATTCATATGTATAATGCATTTATTTATAAAAAATACAAATAAAAAAGAAATTAAATATGGATCATCTAAATCAGATTTAGATAATCTAAATCTGATGAGTTTGGAGTACTCATCTGGATAGAAAGAACTGCTTAACTTATGAATTAGATGTAAAGAAAAACTATTGTAAAATATTACTCCCTCAACTTCTCACCATTGATGAGAAAGGGTTGATTAGTTTGACACCCTAAATGAATTTATTGAAAGTTGGTGGATGAGCTTATTAATGCTATCTCATCATGAATAATGGATACGTTTTCTCCATACTTCTCATTCTTTGCATTCAGTAATCCTCTTAACAATTTTGTTAATGTAATTCTCTTGAATTTTATTAGGCTAAGACGAGAGGCGCGTGTTCAAGATGTGTAGCTGGCAGGAGAGAACAAGGAATTGGAAATGGAATTACATTACCCAAATGCGCGTTTCATCCGCGTTTCAGCCATTTTGAATGTCACAAGAGAGCAAGAACCTTTTGAACAACCTGCATAACAGCTTCTCCCAGAAGCAATAGTCTAGGCAACACTTTATAGTAAAAGCTTTAAAAACAGTGTGGAAAATGAATACGATCTTCACAGCATTTGTAGTTATCATTCGGATTATCAAACCAAACTCTGAATATGTAATTCTTGTGTACGTTATTGTATTCGAGCAACCAAAGAGTTAATGGGCCGTGGGAAATTGCTCCCACAACTATATAATCAGTCCCTACTGGGTCAAAGATTGTGCTTCCTTGTAATGGCCAGAAGTGAAAAGCAGATTAGGGTTATAAAAATAATATCGAAGAGTTATATATAGAAGCAATGGCTAGGTTCAAGTTCTCTTTGCACATCCCTCATCTTTAATAACAGGTTCAAGTTCCACTTCCACGTCAAGTAGTTGCATTAATTAGTATTCTCAGGGAGATCGAATATCTGTGTATTAGTTATTTGTAGCTTGTAATAAGGATAGGAGTATTAATTAAAGGTACACATAGCTAGGATTATTTATGATATCAGTTTACCAGATTAGAACTACCACGTACTCACCTTTTTCATGCAAATCTATATTTTCAGATTGAGCACTGACTATTGTGTATAATTTGCCTGTGGTTTTCAAAATCAAAGCCACTGTTAAAAATTGTAAATCAAATACATGCCAAAATAAATAAATAAAAGAAATTTGTCTTTATTTATTTGTCTTTTATCAAAAATCTAAAAAATACTAATCAATAAAATAAATTAAGGACATATTATCACTTTTTCTACAAATTAATAGGCCGTAAAACCTTAAAATGTTATGTTGTTGAGATCAAGATATTTTATACATATACAATATTATAATAGACATACACGGAGGTTATGCAGATAATTAGGCGTAAAAAAATACACTGATTCCCTCCATACAATTGCATTGTTTTCTTAAGTACAATGAAAAATATAACTCGTATATTACTGTTGGTATTACACATACGTACGGATACGCAACCCATTACGCCTTAAAAACTTTAGTCCATTGATTAATAGCCTCATTAATTTTTTTAGTATTAATAATAGCCTGATTAATTTTAATCAGTGCATCGTCAGGCTTAATTTTTGGATGTGGTTTGCAAATTAAATAGGATCAAGGGCAGTCATATTGGTCAAAAATAAAAACAGCCCATTCTTTTTATCTTGACTAATTAAAAGAAAATAAACATTAAAAAAAGTGATGAAAACCAAGAAACCATTCGATGACATCACATAACACCTTATATAACGGACTAAGAATTTTTTTTTTAAAGAATATATCTTATAATTAAGATCAAAGGGAATATAATTATTAGGTTATTTACATTACATTTTTCCTATGTACAAAATTATTAAGTAATGTAAAAAATAACTAATCTTTTTACTGTGATGATATAATAAAATGATATTATTTTTATTTAAAAACCTATAAATTCTGTAACAAAAATTCTATTGAAAGGAAGATTCTCGAAATATATAGTAATATATTAAGAATTATTACCAAAAATAGTAATACATTACGAATCAAAACTAAAACAACAGTTTAAAAAATCAAACTTGATGACATAGTTTTAAGTATATATCGATGTGGATTTGCTTTCAACATCTGGTTGCATGCATGAAAGATAAACTCGTGCCATACAATATTAGGGTAAATTTTTTGCCAACAATATTAGAGTAATTTGCTTCATCATCTATTACAGGGTGTTTGGATAACAACAAAATTATAGTGTCAGAAGTGTTTTTACGGTATATTTCAATTTATAAAAAAATAGTTACTCATGACAGCTGTATTCCACTTAGCTAGTTAGTCAAATGGTCAAGAGGGGCGGATTTACCAAAGTGTATTCACTGGTTATAAATACCTCACATGTACTACGGTGCTCTTGGGTTAATACAATGTATTGTTCAGATCTCACTTTTCTCTTTCCTCTCTCCTTCTTTGTTTCGTTTGTCCTCTTTCTCTGAATACTCACAAATCCAACCCACAATCTCAATTAACCCCTTTTCACCACCTGTTCCTCATCCATCTCTCGGCTCCTCTGCTTCCAAGTTGTCCCTTCCTTCATCATTCATTCCTTCCATAAATTTCTCATTAATTGTTCATCTCCCAAACACCCCTACACGAGAGAGAGAAATCAAACCTAGCTTTCTCTCAATAATGGATATTTGGTCATGGATATGCGACCTCCCCGACTTGGACGACTGGTCCGAATCACCTGTATTCGAACTCGCCTGTTCAGGCCAAGCTGATCAGGACAGTTCGACTCGGTCTGTTCATTTAAGAGCTGACCGGACTTCTGGGTCGGAATTGGAAGCTGCCGTGATTTTCACCGTTTGCTTGCAGGGGTTTCCCCCGCTCAACGCTGGAAAACCTCTCTGGGTCTCTGAGAAATGTCACCTTTCCAGAGAAAACCCATTCCTTCCTCTGATTGTACAGCTTGTTCACGAGATCATAGCACTCTTCCCCAAGGCGCCAAACAGTATGTGCCCAAGGGCACAGCTCCAGAAGCTCAAACCTAAGCCTATCGCATGGGTCATGGACTCTTACTCCCCCGAATCCTTCTTCACCTTCTTCAACCCCGTCTTCTTCTTACGCCTCTTCTGGCTCTGCGCCTGCGACGCCCCCAACGAAGTTGGCTCTCTCTATTTTCAATCATTGCTACCTTCGGCGCTCGAAATCGTCTCGTCTAACCCGTCGCCGGTTCTGCGAACTTTCTTAATCACCATCGGCGTAGACACAGAGTTATGCTTCATGCGCACCCTCGGGTACATAGTGGCCAAATGGTGCATTTTCAGAGAGCTAGGCGTGGGATAACAGGTGTTGGTTCCGCCGCCGTGTCGGAGCCCGGGATTTTCATACTCGACGGAGGCTCACGGTGTTTGGGCTCTGAAAGGCTATGCGTCGATGATGACTATGATGAAAGTGGCGAGTTCCGATAGTGGGAAACCTCAAATTCCTCGTCTTGATGCTAACGAGTCAGTATTAAAGTACGCTCTTGCCCACCAGCAACTCGAGGCCCTCGTCCAGTTATAATACTCCGTCGCTTTCAACGATGGGTCCATTCAGGTTCGTGCACGGGTGGACAACATACGTCTCCACGTGGGGAAGCTCGGGTGCAAGAACCAAAACCACAAGGCGGAGTACAGCGAGGAGAGGCACTTCCCGTCGAGAGTTCGAATTCGAGTCGGCCTGGAAGTCGGAGCGACGTACGTGGGCGGGTTGAGTTTGAGCCGATCAACAGAGAACACGGAGAAAGAAGTGGAGATACAGAAAATCGTGAAGAGAAATTTCTAGAACCTGAAACTTTCCAAGGGAAAAGTGGTGGCAAGGACATCTACGAAGACGAAGACGAAGAACTGGAGGATGGACCAAGAAGCAGAGGGGAATGCGGCAATATTCGACGCCGTTCTGTACGATAACGCGACGGGTCAGGAGGTGGCGACGGGGAGACCGTACAGGGAAATGCATGACGACCCGGTTCACGGATTGAGGAGGAGGTACGTGGGAGCGAACAGACCGTTTACAAAAACCGGTCGGTGGTGCTCGCGGGGGACGAGTACGGAGAAGAAGCAGGGTGGAAGCTGAGCAAAGAGACGGAAGGGAGTGTGCTGAAGTGGAGGATAGGAGGGGGATTTTGGGGTAAGTTACCGATTAGTATTTCTCTATCCGCGGTAGTGGTATAATAAGAAGGGATTTAATGGAGGAGGAGAAATGCATGCTCACACGCAAATTTTTTGATTTCATTTTTTAAATAAAGATGAAGGGAAAGCCTTGGGGAAAAAGAGAAAATGATCAATCTGGGTTAATAAATCTCCAGTCAAGCCAAGCCACATGAGGTCTTCGTTTGCACGGAGGAAGAGGCACGCTCACAATACTTTTTATATAATATAATTAGACGCACAAACATAAACATATCAATATCGAATTCTAACTCAGAATTTCATCCAACAGTGATGGGGCTTGGATGGGGTGATGGGGCATTTTAGCCCTCTTACAATCATTTTAGGGGAACCAATCCGCACAATAACTTGCTTGTATGGCAATGTAATCACACACACACACACAGCTCCTAATCTCACACATGATTAGGTCTCTTGCCTCGGTTTCAGCAAAAGCTTCAAACATTCTCTAATACCTGTCATTTCTGCAGTGGGAATGGGGAAATATCACAATTCCTTTATAAAGCCACATTTCCCGTTATTATGCTCATCTCATATAAGGCCTCCACATATAAATGTTGACTGATTCACCCATATGCCCAATCCATAATCCATCCAAACACTACTACAAAATTAAAAATACTTGACAGTTATTTTTATACATATTTAACAGTTTAGAACCGTCAAATAAGAATGCATCAAATATTCACAAAGCGAATATTTGACGATTCTGAACCGTCAAATATTCTAAGAATATTTAACGGTTCTAAGTCAATAACTATCAAATAATGTGATATTACTTGACAATTCTTTGCTCATAACTGTCAAATAAGATTCATCAAGAACCGTCAAATAAGGTTAAAAAAAAGTGTCAAATAAAGTGACTTTGTTTAATTCTATATAATTATTTTCAACTATTTATTTCTATTTATTTTTTACTGTTAATATTTATTATGATATACAATATAATCATTGAATAATAACAAGAGAATAATGTTAAATAAAAATTATATTTATAGAATTTAAAATCCAATACATTACATAAAAACATCATACAAATTGAAACAAGGGAAAATCATTAACAGGTCCCACAGAAGGCAATTTATTACTCTGAGGTCCCACGAAATGTCAAAATCACTGACAGGTCCCAAGGGACCTCAGAGTAATATTTTTGTTTTGTAAAATGACATTACTGCCCCTTATATTCCATATTCACATTTGCTTTGTCATTACGATTTACAACCTCAGCAGCGACTATTAACAACCTAATGAGAGGACGTTAACAACCCTAGCAGTATCCGTTAACAACTTACTTTATAGAATTATATAACCTCTACATAAGAGTAAATTGTAACCAAATAATATAATACAACAACTTTAATACTAAAATAGGAAGCTTTTTGATATCATTAAGAATTTTAACTAGATCCAATAGGATTATAGTAATATTTTAATGCGAAGATCCATTTACAACCTCAACAGTGACTATTAACAACCGAATGAGACGACATTAACAACCTAAGCAGTATCAGTTAATAACTTACTTTATAGAATATATAACCTCCGCATAAGAGTAAATTGTAACCAAATAGTATAATACAACAACTTTAATACTAAAATGGGAAGCTTTTTGATATCATTAAGAATTTTAACTAAACCCAATAGGATTATAGCAACATTTTAATGCGAAGATCCATTTACAACCTCAATGGTGAGTATTAATAACCTAAAGAGAGCTGTTGACAATCTAGACAATATCTATTAACAATTGACTTTATAGGATAATATAACCTCTAACAACTATATAAGATTAACTTTAAGACTATTTAGTTATAGTTTAGTTAGTTATAGTTAGAAGTTATATTATTCGATAAAGTTAATTGTTAACAGACACTGCTAAGGTTGTTAACAATTCTCCTTAGGTCATTAATACTTACTGTTGAGGTTGTAAATGGATTTTCGCATTAAAATGTTGCTATAATCCTATTGGGTTTGGTTAAAATTCTTAATGATATCAAAAAGCTTCCCATTTTAGTGTTAAAGTTGTTATATTATACTATTTGGTTATAATTTACTCTTACGCGGAGGTTATATAATTCTATAAAGTAAGTTGTCAACGGATACTGCTTAGGTTGTTAATACCCTCTCATTCAATTGTTAATAATCGCTGTTAAGATTGTAAATGGATATTCGCATTAAAATATTACTATAATCCTATTGGATCTAGTTAAAATTCTTAATGATATCAAAAAGCTTCCCATTTTAGTGTTAAAGTTGTTGTATTATACTATTTGGTTATAATTTACTCTTATGCAAAGATTATATAATTCTATAAAGTAAGTTGTTAACGGCTATTGCTTAGGTTGTTAATGCCCTCTCATTCGGTTGTTAATAATCGCTGTTGAGATTGTAAATAGATATTCGCATTAAAATATTACTATAATCCTATTGGATCTAGTTAAAATTCTTAATGATATCAAAAAGCTTCCCATTTTAGTGTTAAAATTGTTATATTATATTATTTGGTTATAATTTACTCTTATGCAGAAGTTATATAATTCTATAAAGTAAGTTGTTAACGACTACTGCTTAGGTTGTTAATGCCTTCTCATTCGGTTGTTAATAATCGCTGTTGAGATTGTAAATGGATATTCGCATTAAAATATTACTATAATCCTATTGGATCTAGTTAAAATTCTTAATGATATCAAAAAGCTTCCCATTTTAGTGTTAAAATTGTTGTATTATATTATTTGGTTATAATTTACTCTTATGTAGAGGTTATATAATTCTATAAAGTAAGTTATTAACGGATACTGCTAGAGTTGTTAACGTCCTCTCATTAGGTTGTTAATAGTCGCTGCTGAGGTTGTAAATCGTAATGACAGAGCAAATGTGAATCTGGAATATGAGGGGCAGTAATGTCATTTTACAAAACAAAAATATTACTCTGAGGTCCCTTGGGACCTGTCAGTAATTTTGACATTTCGTGGGACCTCAGAGTAATAAATTGCTTTTTGTGGGACCTGTTAGTGATTTTCCCTTGAAACAAATCGATTACTTGAGCACTCCCTGTACAAAAAGAGCATTCTCTTACAAATTTTTTGAACCTCCTCTTTACCCATCGCTATCAACATAAAAGCAGTGAATGCAACGCCCAAAGAAGTTTGGCTTCTGTTGCCTCAGTCTACCTGAAAGAAATAAATTGGATGCATGAGAAATAAAATATATTATAATAAGTTGAGTGAAATACTTGAAAGAGCAATACAACAAAACGTGTTTGCATTACTAATAGACAAAGCAATACAACAACACAAAACAACAAAGCATGGTATAAAAGCAAACTAACAATGCCAAAGGGATGAGAACAAAATGCTCACATAACAAACAACACCTAGAAACTACAAATTGAAATCAGCTAACAGGTTGCTTTATTCGGTTGAAAAACCATAAATGAAAACTACTATAAAAAAACAAGGAATAAATCACAATCTCCGCAGATTGCTCAATTTTTCAATACTCTAACGAAGAGGTCCTCCAAGCTGATATCTTCCAAGACCCTATAAACATAAATATAAAACTTATTTAGCTCCAGTATCAACTTTTTCCCCCTTCAATTTCAAAATGAGATTGGGTTTGACTCCAAAACTTACTCCAAAATATATGAGTACATACATGACAACAAAGCAAGCAATTAGAAAAATTTGATCAAACAGGGAATCAAGCATGACACAAAGGAATCTTCAAACAAAGGAAATAAGAAATTAGAATTGGTACAGAAGTCACAAAAATTCCCTACCAAAGCAGAATCTAGTCAAACACACTCATGAAGTTCAATTAATTTTCTAAAGAAATTTTTAAATAAAAGGAGGAAAATTACTGGAAGAGAAACCAAAGTATGATGAGAGGATAATAAGGCAAACAAGAACAATATAATTTGTCCAATGTAAAGCAACATTCATTAATGAAGGCATGCATGTTAATCCTTACTACCCAGGTGATGGACGTGAAAATTCTGCAGATCCCATGGAACGGTGTGCCTACACTGAACAAACTGGGGATAGAAAAATTAAAAAGCATCCAAATGTTACAAATCAACTAAGAAAATCTTATGCAATTATAGTCTCATTTCATTGTGCTGCACTCTCTCTACAT